AAGTTAGGTCACAAGGAGGAGACTAGAGAGGTGAAGCTGAAAGTGTATTTGGCCGGAGGTACATTGTAAGCAACTAAGAATCAGAACAGACTTCCAATAAGCATCTCAGGCGTGATCACGTGTTTATTTCAGAAAGATCGCACTGGCTGACAGTGTGTAGGAGAGACTGGGGGTGTCAGGCAAGCCGACATAGTCCAAGTATGAGTTCGCTGGCAGTCATTGCCGTCAGCCAGCACTACTTGTCACTCTGCCACACATTCATACTCTACTAAGCAGGCTGCAGCCTGTCTGCTGACCATTATCAGAGTATGCTTGGCCATTTTTGAGATGCTCAGCTAGTAAATGGAGCCAAAGAATCTGAGCTGAGGTTCCAACTCTTAAATACGGCACATACTTTCCTGAGGGAGAGGTAATTAAGGTTGTCAATTAAGCCCATGGGTGTGGGAGTGGAGAGGTGTTTTAGAAATAGAACCAAAAGGATTTTGACAACACAGTGGCTTTAAAAGGCATTTTTTTGTTTGGTTGGCTGACCCTCTAGTCAGGAAGGGCTGCTAGTGGGAAGATCATGAATTTAGCTTAAGAGAGATGGTTTTGAGTTGCCTGTTAGGGACGTGCAGGTGAAGATGGTCAGGGTAGGATTGTATATACTGCACTGCAGCCCTGAAGGGAAACGAGATCCAAGAGAGAGTGATCGGGAGTCTCGAATATGGTTGAAATCATAAAAGTGAATGAAATAACCCGACCTGAAGGAAGGCACCATAGGTCAAGTCCATTTTTAGGTTGGAAATGCCAGGGGATGAAGGGGACTAAGAAGTTGAAAGAGCCAGGTGAGGGTGTCAGGACATCTCAGGAAGGAGGAAGGGTTCCCTGTCAAATACAAAAAACAGCAAATAAACAAAGCACACATGATGTTGGTAGTGAGAGAATGTGGCCTCACAGACACCTCGTGGATGAACTGAACCCCAAACCGTGCCCCACCGGGGTCTTCACAGCACAAGCTCAATCGTTTCTTTCCCCAAGAGGCCGAGGTTGCCCACTCAGTTCTCATCGCCCTGCGCTTCCTCCCTTTTTGCAGTTAGGGCGTAATTCTCCTGCACACAGCAGGGCTGGGGAGCCGGACTGCCACTCCAGTCCGCCCCCTGCTTACTGTTTCCATGGCGACCTCTGCTTACTTATTCCCCACCCGGGAGAGCGCCCGGCGCAGCCGCGGAGCCCGGAGGAGGGAGCCGGAGGCCTGCGGCGAGGGCGCCTGGGCTGCCCGGGCCGCGCGCAGAGCTGCCCTGGGGGGCGGGGGCGGGGGCGGGGGCGGGCGGCCGGGACACCCCCCCTGCTGGGACCCCCGCGCCCGGACTTCCAGAACGCCGCTCTCGCCGCCTTGCCCCGCCAGCCTCACCATCCCTCAGTCCCCAGTGCTTTTCTCTAAACTCTGTCCTCTCTGTCCGTCAGAAGTTGGCTCCTTCGGACTCTGCCTAACAGGGGGCGCCTCCGCCCCGCTGCACTTTCTCCGCCCGGGGCGTAAACTGAATCGGAACTGAACTGAGCGGGACTCGGGCCGACCAATGGGCAGCCGGGAGCG